TTAACGAAGCGTTAGAGGCGTTTCGAGAATAGCGGAGAACAGCATGCGGTGCCAAATTGTGATGAAAGTTCTTCGATCGAGACGCGCTTATAGGCGGCGAGTTGTATTCTTTTGATAAAAATAGAAAGAATTCATTCTCTCTTGGTAGTCCGGTGAATATGGTGGTAAACGAGCTTTTATTAATCGGAAGAATGGGGAGTATTATTGAAGAAAGGCACGTGGAATAAGATTTTACGTGTAGTTTTTCTATCGTTTTTTATGACTTGTATAGCCGTAATATGATTGTATAGACTTTCTTAGATGTCCGTGAAAAATATGTCAATTTACACAGCTAATGAGCCACAGGTCGTCATCGATATACATCGAAGGACAAAATAAATCAAATATCTTGTGATGTATTTATATTCAATTGATAAATATATCAATCTTCAATAATGTCGGAAAAATAATAACGACAGTTAATTCGAATATTTGTATAGCGAAGGAATTCGAAAATTAGAAGAAAAGAAAGGTCCTTTATTGAAAATTTGTATTTTACGTACTTCGTAAAGTTTTTCTTTTTTAAGCTTTAATTTGCTTTAATTTGATTATATTATCTAATCACATTATATTTTGCTTTGTACAAAATATTAATTCATTGCATTCTGACAGAATTGCAAAATCAATGATTTTTTTATTCTTTTCACGATTTGCTTTGATGCATTTATCACGCATGAAATAGCTATACAAAAAATTGAAGAAATTCTAATAAAAAATTTAAATAATTAAAAATATTTTAATATATATATATATATAGGCGTTTGGATATACATTATTATTAAATTTTTAAACATAGTAATATTTTATTACAATGATCCAGCAATAATAATTCGCAAACTATGCAAACGTTCTACAATAATTTTGTATTAAAGTTGTCCAATACACTTATATAAAATTAATTGAAATATTAAAGCACGATGAATTTATTGATAAAAATACTTTAAATGCATTAAACACTAGTGCATAAAAAATACCGAAAGTAAAGATTTATCTGCTGGTATGATTATATACGATCATTTCATATTCCTTCACCAATCGAAATTGAATGTTAAGTTTTTTTTTTGTTTTTTTTTTTAAGCGACTATTCGAAAAAATTTAAAACATTCGAAATTATCTATTACTTACATTGTAAAATATACATACAAAATGAATTAATAACAATTTATAATAGAACATTATCGTTGTAAACGAGAAATCTTTATACAAAGTAGATTTTTATCACCAATGGCTCTATATCACCAAAACCGCTATCGTTTCATTGTCATGCAATGCCATCCCTTACAGTATAATCGGTTACGTTCACTTCGTGTTATATTACTCTTAATCGACGGACGCACGCATGTGATGTGCTTTGAGACAATGTGCTTTTTTCCGGTGACCCCGTAGATATCGTCTGTTAATGTGTAAATAGCGTAGGAGCGAATGTAACTTTTCGATCACAAGATCAATCATGCAACCTACGCGCACGAAAACTGATTATCATGAGAATTACCGGAATGATGACGATTATGATGGTAATGGTTAAGCCCGAAAGTTGGTTGCTCAATATTAAAGTTGAAATTATGATTAATGGAAATAAAAGATAATCTGTCGAGTAGTAAAAATGCAGTTTACATTTGGGCAAACAGCTATAATATTAAAATTTCGTCTCCTTAATTACAATAACAAATTAAGCATTAACAAATAATACAATGTTTAAAAATCATTGCTAGAATATTTTTAAGTTAATTAGTATGTTAACGGAATATATAATATACACTTATTGCATGAATTTGTATAATTGTTCAAATTCCTTTTCAAAGTATCCAAATGATTTTACGATCCGATAATTAAACCAATTATAACTTATAAATACTTAAAGTATAATATCATTATCGACAAGAATTAAAATTTGAGCTTTTACTAGTTTTATTGCTATTAACCAATAGAATTTCAAGTCTCAAGACTTGAGTTTCTCAAGTTATAGAGTATAGAGTGGTTTTTGTAAACAACGTTAAACTCTTATTAGATTACAAGAATACATAGTAATGAATAATAATAATAAAAAAAAAAAAAAAAAAAAACTTACCGAAAGTATGATGAACTGATCAATTCAAAAAATTGAAAAATAACATAAAGATTCCTTGGCTTTCTTGACAAAAGATCATTATGAAATTTCAGCGATAAAAATATCGTGTTTCTTTTTCAATGAATTTTAAGTTTTCTTTATATATGAGTGCTAAATCAAATAAAGTGAATAAGTAAAGCTGAAAAAGTACCCCGTTATTTTGGATATGCAATTCATAAAATTAATTCCAAACAGAAATTGAGTCCAATCACAAAAAAAATAAATAATAATTTTTATTTGCTTAAAAACAAAACTCTCCTACATAAAGTCATTGCCGTTTGTAAATTTAATGTTACAACCAATTAAAAATGTTATGAATTATTAAAATTTCAATTTTTCAATTAACAATTGTCAACTAAACCATTAATATATTTAATATTATATTATGTTTATCGTTGAAAAACAATTTTGACGTGCATTACTAAGTTAATGACTTATTAATTAAATTATTACTAATTAATGATATTAAATTATTATTTAATTTGCCTTACAAATACTATGTCAATTTTTTAATATACAATTAGAAATTTTTGTCTTTAAATTTATATGCTGTGCGTACTAAAAATTTTTGGAAAAAATATTGGCAAACTTACCGGTACCGCTAATATTAATCGATACATTTAGAAATCTAAAATGTTTGTGTATGCATCATTGCTACAGTCACAATTGTCTTATTGGAGTAGAATTTAATAATATAATCGATTACGTTTCCTTCGTGTTAGATTACTTTTAATTAATTGACGAATGAAATCATGACCATTCTGCTCTTGTAAGGATACAAAATTTTCTACAATAAATACGTACATTAAAAACAATCAAATTTGGTAATCTATACGATTAAAATTTTCAACGCCGGAAATTTCAATCAAGCGCGTGATTAAAATAAGCAAGTGAAACATGAATAAAATTTTACCCACATATCCCTCTATACAAAAAGTTACAAATAAAAAAATGCATTTGCTGTACCCAACATGTTTTTAAATTATTTTAAAATTTGATATGAAAATTAAAGACATGATATTCGTTGTTTCTATATATATTAGCTTTACAATATATAAGGTGTATAAATGTTTATGCATTCTTAAATTACGAAAAATTTATTGATTTATTTATTAATTATTGACGACGAGGCAGCCGTAGTAATTGCATAAATGGATAACTCCAGTATTTACAATTATTTATCTCGATTTATATTTTCAATTGTATATAATAAGATTTGTATGATAAATTGTCAGTTTATCAATTTATGTATTTGTGCTGCAATTAGTCAAAACTACTTTCATCAGTCATCTATATTTTACATATTTTATATCTTAATTTGCATATTAACGCGTGAACGATTATTTTTCCATTGTTTCACGAAAAATATACAAAACATATTCCCCATAATAAAACGTAGTAATTATAAATTATATTTTTTGAAATAAAATATTGTTTATATACCTATAGGTATATTATAGATATGAAATAGGTAAGCTTTTTCTAATTTACGGAATCACTGTCTATAATATCTATATCATTGTTTTTATTGATAAGTGTTAAAAAAAAAATTTTTTTGTTGTTAAATATGATACTTAAGAGATAAATTCTATAACGATTATATTGTATTGTATTTATAAATATGGACAAATACATGTATATCAACTATAAGTAAAGTCATTGAAACTTTTAAATGAATTCCTGAAAGGCCCGTGTTGTATTTTTCAAATAGTGTCGCCATCTAGTCCATAACATCAGAATCACAAGGATAATTAATTTGTCGATAATATTAATAATATAAAAGCAAGTCGGCGCTAATGATTATTATTATTATTATATTTCATAAAAACAAATATTTCAATATGAATATTTTTTTTAACTACTATATATACATGAAAACGAATTTTTTTCATTTTATTTTAACTTTAGCGTGATGTTTTGCAGTACAAAGATTGGCATTGACTATTTTAGCAAATTATATTATCAATTTTTCCATATATATATATATATTATAAGAATTATTTTTCTATTAATATGTATAATTACTTGAATATTTTATACAAAATTCATATTTTAATATCTTATCGTAATGCGTTCTGAAAGGTATCAGAGGTAAATTCAATTAAAGACATAATGATGTTTCTGTAATAAAATATGTATTATTAAAAGTTTTCAGAAACTAATAAATTCAATTATAATTTAAATCACAACACATCATTTATTGATGAGTGCTACATTAACATGCGTTGATCATTATAATAAAAATTTAAAAAAAAAATACATATTTAACCAACGGATAACGGATAATCGTACAGTATTTGATTAATTACATGCACAAGAATTTCTTTAATATAAAAAATTCGCCCATCCATTTGCTTTCAACAATAGCAAATACTCACTTTCTCGACAATACCCTCAATATATGCATACATCTCATAATAAAATATTCTAAATTCTTTGTACTCTAAATACCATCAAGTATTACGGTAAAAAGTTCTCAGTTATGAAAAACACAAAAATTATTATTGCGATGAAATATTTTTTACAAAAATTTGTCTTCCATACTGGATTAGACGAGATACAATGCCGTGCTATATTTTCACGAGACATACATTATAATGGAGATTCGAATTTAAAGTTGAAGAAAAAGAGAGAAGCTTCCTAAATGTTTTCTATTTGACAACAGTTTCATCGGCATGGACCACGCGAAATGCTGGACAGCAACGAACGACGTCGGATTGCTGTCTCAACTCGACGCACACGCGTATGCCTACAAGTTCTCTAACTTTAGCATCCGATCCCAAAATAACCCAAGTAGGTAGGCTGCCGATGCCGCTATCCTTCTCATCATTGGTCATAATCGTCAGTAGCACGGTGCCCACAGTCATAGATAAACCTTCAGGAGGCTGCATTTTCCGCTGTACCCTCTCATCACTTTTTGATATCTCTCTCTCTCTCTCTCTCTCTCTCTCTCTCTATATATATATATATATATATATATATATTTATATATCTGTCTGTTTCTATATCTCCATTTCACATTAAATCTAATGTATCTATTTGTCATTTTGCGACAGCTGTAAGTTCACAATACCGAATCAACTTTACTTCATCTAGCAGCATGGATAAAGCGGGTAATTACTGCGCATCGATGAGCAAACATTACATGTCGGTGATTATTATTGTTCATTTATAATTCTTTAAGAATAAAAAAAAGTGTATTTCTCGTGGATAATAGCTTGCTCAGGCAGATAAATTAATGAACAAATATCAGTGATATATTGTGATACCGCGAGTCTTCTTAATTACGATATTCATTTTGTTGAAGTAGAATTTAGACAAAATTTGCCAGTGATGGTTTAATGAAGCATTGTGCAATAAGTAATGCGTTAAAACGAGCCTACGTATCTCTATAAATAAATAAATAAATAAATAAATAAACCGTTCAAGATTTTAAAAGGCATTTCAAATAGCAGCAACTGTCACAAAGTTTAAAATTTTTATGACGGGAATAAAAATAAAATATTATAAATACCGGCTAAAGGATAAAATATTCATTATAAAAACAGTGGTTTAACAACTACAAATGACAGTTACATTTCTATCGTTGTCTTAAGTTACTTTATCTTTAAGCAACTTATTATTCGATTCTGGATGCGTATAATCGTCAAAACTGCATTACAATATGCACCACGAGCAATCAGGAAGTGAGCAACGCTTAATAAGAGATTTAACGGAAGTGATATATAATGAATAAATAATTGTATTGACAAAACAAAACAAAAACAAAAGATAATAACCAAAAATTCAAAATTAACAACAAACACAATTTCGATTAACTAATAAATTGCGTAATTGAACATATCATTGGCCTTAAATGTTAAGATGTTTATCAAAATAATTGATTTTTAAGTAAGTTGCACATTGTTTTACATTATGATAATTACATTTCCATAATATCCTGCATCGTACATCTTAATACTAACGTATTTTACTATTAATTATTGATATTCATATTTCTTACTTTCATTTGTAGAAGAAAATAGGATTCATTAAAAATAATGTTCTAATAATCTTTTCCATGCACAACCTTTAAACATTTAACAACGCACATCATAAATAACCTATTTACATACATTATTCGTTGTCCTCGTATCGTAGTATCAGTGCTATGATGGACAATGGAGGGCAAAAAAATAAATAAATAAATAAATAAATGTCCGCTTATTGTTCTTTATATACATTCAGATTTATGTATTTCTCTGCAAAATACTACGAGGCAGTCGTGCGTTAAGTGTAACAAACCGCATCCCAAGTTCATCACTTTTCCTCACATCTATTATCCCCTCGTTTCATTGCGAAAAAGCTCAAAGAATTTATTTTCTGGATGCAGGTAGGCCAACGATCGCGTGATACATATGTACCTTAATCGTTTTATTGCACCATTATTACAGTTGTCTACTATAACTTTAATCGTACTTGAAATTTCGATTACTAATTATGATTCGTGCATTATAAAAAATGATTCTCGTCACGCCTCGAACTTTCGATTCAATCGAAACTCAACACTTTGAGTAGATGATGTTTCCTTTCAGAACATCAATTTATCTCCCATACGAGATTAATATTGATACGATACTTTGGTATTTTAGAATATATCATAAATATCTTCAATCATAGATTATTTATACTCGTTAACAATTGTAAATTGTTATTTTGCAATATTCTATCGTCTCGATGTAATACGTACTTTTCCAAAATCTACTAACTCAAATTACCTTCATCATTGCTGTATTTTTATTTACAATATTATTTTTTAATTACTTTAAGCAACTGAAGTTGTATATGATAAAAGAATCAAACATTTAATACAATAAATATAAATAAACTCTTATTTTATCGATATATTACAGTGTTAGTGTAATTATACTTAATTAATTTAATTAACAGGTTAAAATGTTTAACATAAGCATTCTTAACAATATTGGAAAAAATAATCCGACATTACTGTTGTCCATAATATTTTTTTCTATTTATTTCAATTACAATAGAATATAGAATATAATTCATAAAAGAATACAAATATCGATCCTTTTCACGATTCAAATTGACAATATTTTGCCGACGATATCGCAAATAATATTAATAATAAACAGTAACGATTATGTCGATTTGCAAGTGACCATTTCCATAAAAATACATTTTTAAAGAATCGAATAAAATTCTTAATACAAATATTATCAAAATTGATGTAAAATTGTATATAATATATTTTCGGTGTTTTTAACGATCGTTGAGAGCAAACAAATGACTCGAACTTCAAAAAAAATAAAATAATTTTTATCATTTATAACTTATAAAAACATTATTGAAGTAACTTCTTATTGAAATAAAACCTTTTCTTTTAAATTAATGTCGTATGAAATATAATTTGTTCTTCTAATTAACTATTTTAATTTTCAAACTAATATCTTCGGCTTACTAATAAACATGGCGATTAAAGACACTTTCACTATTTAAATAACGAATACTGCGTTTCAATAATACAATTTTTATTGAAGTTCTCTTTAATTTTTTATTTACCACGTTTCAGATACATATTTTTTTTTTTTATCGGAAAATAGAATTCAGGATTACTATACAAAGAAATGAAATGAATAAACACAGATTTTCAACTTTTAATACATGTGAAATACATTATTTATAACTTTTTTTTTTTTTTTTTTTTTTTTTTAAGGGATAAAGAAAACAAAAGAATTAATATAAGACGATGTGAATTTGATTGTTTATTACAGTAAGACTGAAATTTAAAATAAACGCTGGATTTTTTGGATAGCATGAGAAATTAAGAATTTTAAAGTAATATTTGTAATATTGATGAAAATTTAATAACTACAAATATTTGATTGTAAACAGGCAATGATAGAAGTCTAAAATTAGGTAAACGGATTGTCAAGCCATTATCGAATTAATATTGCTCATTAGCAGTGAAAATAACTGAAGTGATAAGGGAACGCCTGCGGAAGAAAAAGATTTTTGTGCGATTAGATCGTAACGCATGAAAGCCAAACTTATAAATATTGTGATAATACTAGTTATAAGAAAGCATTTGCATGCCATGCCAAGTACACCATTGTAAAGTACATTCAATTACAATCGTTACTGCGCTTGCGCCGAAAAGACGTACCGACCCATATTATCCCGCCAGTACAAAAATATTCGCTTCAATATTTTTTTCATATTTCGTTGTTAGCGATCTGTTTGTGAGTATAATTTACCATATAGGTTACCATATTTAACATGCAAATACATTGTTTTATGATTTTCACTTGTTTTATTTGTCACAAAGTAATAATATGCTTTATCGATAGCTATTTTAGTAAAATAATCATAAAGTAATGTATTTCGGTTAAGAAATTATTATTATCATCATCATCATCATCATCATCATCATCATTATTAATATTTATTTGTAATATTTTTATAAAAACAGGTTTATTGTTATTGTAAGCTCGAAAAAAAATCGTTCCCAAAAGTAATTCAAACACCAATTAATACATAATCGTTAAGAACAAACATTTACGGATAAATATTATTTTTTGACAATTCGTTTAATCACTTCATTCCCTAGTTTAAACGAAACGCTACATTTTTAATTGGTCATTATTGTTCGAGAATGGAAATTCGTAATTTGTGTACATGGCTATAACTGAAACTAAATACTCATTCGCAGAAAGCAAAGTTTTCTTTACCAATATCAATTTAACGATTTTACTTTAGATGCAGTAATCATGGAGGACAATGTATCAGGTAACTCAATTGTGCCTAGTACAGGGGAAATTCTCGATATTAAAGTAAGTCTTAAAAATATTATTAATTTTTAAAGCTAATTTTTCTTTACATAACCTTACTATTTTCTCATCTTTTACCTAGATACCTAGATTAATCGTAAAATTATTATTCTAAAAATTTTCGACAAAAGCCCTTCATATGATTGATCGGTCAATTTTTAACACTTTCCAATTTTTTTTTTTCTTTTAAAAAGTTCCTTACATCTTGACAATTACCTTAATATAATTTTTCATATAATTGACAACGAAAGCTTCGTTTCTTTAATCTTCATGACCTTATCTTTTCATTTTAATACGAAAAATTCTATCAAATTTAAATTAAAAAAATTTCACTTTTTTATATATACTTAAATGAAGAACAGATATTTAAAGTTGTGAGAATTAATATAATGTGTGTATAATGAGCAAAACATATTTTCAACATACCAAAATTACATCTCTATATAATCATTTATAGTAGAATTATATGAAATATAATCAATATATTCTAATATTGTAAAAAGCAATAAATTATCAAATGTAATGAAACTAATTTTTTTTTTTTTGTAAATATGATATATGTTATTTGAAGGATTGTACAAATGATTTGAATCGTGTCAAATGAAATAACAACTTTACGAATATGATATTTGAATTAGATTTTATATAAAAAAAAAAAAAATTAAAAATAAAAAAATGAAGAAAAAAAAACATAGTAAAGCTACCCATATATTAATAAATTATTGAAAATTAGATTTTTCAATTTACAAATCATATTACTTTAAATTGTATTGATATTTTCATTTTTTAGAACGAATAAAAATTAAATTTTAAAATTTTTAACCATTATTTGACATTTATGTCCAGTTTATCATTAATATAGTATCGTATTCTCATATTTCATTTTTCTTGAAAATTTAAAGTAATTTCATAATTAAAATATTATTTCTAAAATTAACAAATTATATTTTTATTTATTAAAAAAATGAAGGACAAACTTGAAATCAAGAAGGTTAATAAAAACTCAAAAAAAAATAAGAAAAGTATAGAAGATATATTGAATACTTTGTCCAACCATAAAACATCGGAAGAAAAGTTACTTGCTTTGTGCAGTTCATATTTATGTATAGATCGTAAATCACTAAACCTCTCCAAGGAGATGAATAAAAGGCTATTGAGTGTTCAACGAGAAAATGAACGATTGGAGTCTGAAAAAAATAAGGCTTTACTATTAAAAGATAAATTAGCAACTATGTTTCGTGATTTGAATATGAAATTCAGAACTTTGAAGATGGATAATATTTCAAAACTGAAAGATGAAGAAGAAAAGAGAAAGGAAGTATCTACTAACTTTCAAAAGCAATTCAATGAATTTAACGAATTAATATCTCAATTGAATGAGAAAAACTTACAGTTAAATAAAGATAATGATCAAATGAAGAATAAGTATAAAGAAATGTTAGAACACATGAAAGCTGACGAACAAAGAGTTGAACAAATGCAGCAAATTATGAAGCAACAAATTAACAATATGCAAATGCAACTCAAGGAATTGCTACAAGAAAGAGCTAAAAGCGAGGAGATGTTCTTAAAAGAGAAAACTGATCTTCTCACAGTAAGCTTAAATTTATATAGATGATTAATTTTTGTTTTATAACATTCATTATTTGTGCATTTTATTGTTATTTTCAGAAAATAACTGTCTATGAAAATAAACTATTAGAAAAAAATAAAAATGAATTAGAATTACACAAACAAATTGATATGTATTCAAAAAAGTACAAATGTTTTGAGAACACGATGGTAACGAGCAGTAAATTCATAAGTGAATATAATGAAGGCATGACACGGGTATAAATAGAACATTTCATAAATTTTGTAAAGCTATATTATAATAATTATTATTGAATAATTAATTGTAATTATGATTTTTTTCACAGATGACAAGTAAAATTTCCGTACTGGAAAAGGAAACAAATACATGGAAATTACGTTATAAAGCAAATAATAATAAAATACTTCAAATGACAAAGGAAATAATTAATAATGAAACAGAAATTAAAAATTTAAAAAAAAAGTGTAACCAGTTTGAATCTTTATGTAAAGTTTTACAGCAAGAGAGAGTAAAAAGAATAGCCCAATTGAGAAGCTTGTCAAATAATGTTAAAACTGAAAAAAACCAAAAACTTATTAAAACTGTTGAACAAAATGTAAAAGATCCGACTAAATCTAGCTCACTTACGACAAATCTTGTAAATAACAAAAATGATGAACCTAATGTTCAAATAGATGATTTAATAATCGAACCTGATAATCTGAATACAAATAATGAGCAAAATAACAACGATGATGGTATAATATATCAGAGTGATATGCTTTCAGAAATGAGTATTGAAACAAATAGTCAAACACAGGAGGATATACCTGGAACGAATGGTTTAATAAAAGAAACTGAAAATTCAATTACAAATAATAAACAAATTAATAATGATGATGGTATAATTGATCAAAGTGTTATACTTTCAGAAATAAATATCGAATCAAATATTCTAACAAACAAAGAAATACTTGGAACGAATGGTTTAACAAAAGAAACTGAAATTCCAACTACAAGTAACAAACAAAATAATAATGGTGATGGTATAATATCTCAAAGTGTTATGCTTTCAACAATAAGTACTGAACAAAATAGTCAAACACATGAGGAAATACCTGGAACGAATGGTTTAACAAAAGAAACTGAAATTCCAACTACAAGTAACAAACAAAATAATAATGGTGATGGTATAATATCTCAAAGTGTTATGCTTTCAACAATAAGTACTGAACAAAATAGTCAAACACATGAGGAAATACCTGGAACGAATGGTTTAACAAAAGAAACTGAAATTCCAACTACAAGTAACAAACAAAATAATAATGGTGATGGTATAATATCTCAAAGTGTTATGCTTTCAACAATAAGTACTGAACAAAATAGTCAAACACATGAGGAAATACCTGGAACGAATGGTTTAACAAAAGAAACTGAAATTCCAACTACAAGTAACAAACAAAATAATAATGGTGATGGTATAATATCTCAAAGTGTTATGCTTTCAACAATAAGTATTGAACAAAATAGTCAAAGAAACGATGAAATACCTGGAACGAATGATTTAATAAAATCAATGGAAATTCCAACTACGAGTAACAAACAAAATAATAATGGTGATGGTATTATATGTCAAAGTGATATGCTTTCAGAAATACGTATTGAACAAAATAGTCAAACACAGGAGGAAATACCTGGAACGAATGGTTTAACAAAAGAAACTGAAATTCCAATGACAAGTAACAAACAAAATAATAATAAAGATGGTATAATAGATCAAAGTGATATACTTCCGAAAATAAGTATCGAACCAAATATTCAAACAAACGAGGAAATACCTAGAACGAATGATTTAATAAAAGCAACGGAAATTCCAACCCTAAGTAACAAACAAAATAATAATGATGGGGGAATAATAGATCAAAGTAATATGCTACCGGATATGAGTATTGAACCAAATATTATTACAAGTAGTCAAAGTATTTCCTTGGAATCTGATAAACATCAAACAGTCTTACAAGTGCCTCCTAAAGAAACAATTTCAAGTAAAAGTGAGGCTCAATCATTAAATATTGATACATCAGCATACACTTATGCACAAATAAAAGATAATGATTCTGATCAAACAAGTTCTAATATTCGAAAAGTTGCTGAATGTACTAGTGAATCAACATTGGAAATTGACACTGATCATCAAAATTTGGTGAAACAAGATAAACCAAAAATGGATGATATAAAAGCTACAAATAATACAGTATCTCATACAGTAAACAGTAAACAAAAGAAAAAAGTGAAAAAATATAAGGTAAGTTTATAGAACTTTTTTAAGAATATACAAACTAAATAAGCTTCGAAATTCTATTTTTATGTATCCCTTCCTAACAAATATTAAAGTTTGTGTAAAGAATACTCATCGGTTAGCAGTTTATTTTTAAATATATTAATTTAATAAATATTTGCCTATGTGAAATACTAAAGTTTATATTTTTACGATGCATCAACTTTTGTATTTATTAAAAAATTTTAAGGGTTTAAATTAAGAATAAGATGTATAAATTATATTAATTTTTTACATGAAAGTAGGTGTATCGACGAAAAAGGTAATTCAAGTAAATGGTATTAAAAGCATCAAAGGTTTTTTATTTCATACATAATAAATGAAAAAAGATTACGAAATTTCACACAGAAAAACAAATATTTTAAATTACAACTCTTATTTTTAATAACCTTATATATATAATAAAGTTATAAAATTAAGTATTTTAATGAAAAACATTTATTTTTCAGAATCGAAACAAGAAGTAAATAGTGATCAATTCTTCATCAATGAATCACAAATGAAGTAGTAAAGTAATTACAAAATTAATCTATTAGTAGATCCCAGTGACGTTAAATTCTTAGCTTTCGATACTTTGTACCAAATATATATACAAGTATAATAATACTATTTATAAACAAGAATAACTATTAATAACAAATTATAGTTTTTTTTATATATTTGTAGTACATACCTTATTAAGAAGTACATTTTCTAAAAATATTTTTATATTTTCTTTGGAAAATTCGAATGTTTGTCATTAAATGTAATTGTCGTAATTTAGTAGTTGACTAAAGAAGCATGTACATTATATCTAGGCTATTGGATACTTTTACTGCTAATATATTTAATTTTCCGTAGTATGTGAACTTAATTGTTATTAAAATTAAAACAAATTAATTCACAATTACACATTACAGTTAGATAAAACAAATTAATAATCGACTTCTTAAAATACACTTTTCTTTATGACAAAAAAGTATTAATTGTGTTGTAGTCTCTATAACAATCCAATGCAAAAAAATAAAACATAATACTCATTTAATAAGACTAAGAAGGAGCTATATATATATTTGTAAAAGTATTTGCAAATATTACATTAAAAAGTATAAATATATTATATTTAAATCTGTATTTTTTTTTTTTTTTTTTTTTTTATTTCAAAATAATGGTTTGGTGACAAATTTATGTGAAATTTGACTTAATATACATTCTATAAATATAAGTACGTTCAAAATAATTTCGATCAAAGTCGACCAAAAACATCAAAAACCATTGGCCTTTATGACTATATATCAGAAAAAAACTACATATTTATTTATAAATAATATATGTCTAAAAAAGTAAGTTTCAATTAATGTACAAAAAATATTAGTACAATTTAAAACAGGTGAAAATTTTTATAATTTTCTTAACAATTTTTCATTATCTACTTAATAAATGAAATATTAACATAAACTAATATAACGTTTATTATACATATTAACATAACTTAATACAATAGCATTATTATGGCATAATTATATTCCTCATAGCCTAGAAAATAAAATAAAGAAATAAATAAAAAGTATAAAACCAAGCAACGACCAATATAATTTCAATACATTTAACATATTCAACAAAAAGAAAAAAAGCTTTTAATTGATGATGCAATAGAACAAATTGTTAGACAACGTAGTTATACGACAGAGCAAATTTAAATTTGACAATAAACTTTATTAAATAATTTATTAAAAAAAAATATTTAAATGTTCTTTGAGTTGACAAATAAAAATATATTAAGTAAGACGTATAAAATAATCGTAAAACCGTTACATTTACAAAAATCACATGATTCTAATGAAAATCATTAATTAAATAATATAATTCACAGTAGTATTATTATAGACACCAATTAAAACTTATAGACTTATTAATAATCTTAAACGGCTACACATACCCATCATAATCATTAAAATGAAAATAAGTCAAATAATGACAAAAAGAACGCAGTCGATCCTTATTAAGAGCGAAAATTTTTTAAATTTCCAATCCACGTAAAATTTTTTTACCAACTTTATAATAAACAAGATTATGATCGAATGTAATTATTGTGATAGAATGCCAGATAAAATTTTAGCGAATGCAACATTTTAAGTAGGACGAGCCGAGTATAATAAAGAAGCATCTGTCAGTTTTGGCACGCTTCTTGGCTTTGTGACAGAATGTTGCGGTTGTCTGATTTTGTAAAGGAAATTTTTTTTATAATGCTTGAACAGTTTGTTTCAATAGAATGGAAATTCTACGCTAAATTAACTATCAAATATAAATAAACACTGACCACAAGACCAAAAGTTCGGACGGATCTCATTGATTATAGACATATACCGTTCATCTTTAATTACAAAAAGTGTTAAGAGAATAATTAAATTAACTTTATTGTTACGCTAAAGAGGAAAGTTCTGTTGTGAAAGCATAGATTTGATATTTTACAGAAAACTTTTATACATTAACAATGGCCGAATTGACGGTACATGTATATTAAGTTTTTTTATCTTATTGAAACGCAATTGACAAGTTATTTGGTGAAACAAACTTTTTGAAAACTAAAACTATGTTAAAAATTTTACAAAAATTTAGTTTATTGTTTTATAATTTTTTTTTTTTTATCATAATATGTGAATTCAATTTATATAAAATTAATTTCTATTATTTTCAATATTTTCTTTAATTTCCATATGAAAAACGATGAGAAAAATTCTTTAACGGAACTTCATAAAGTTAATGTATGCATTTGTATTTTATGCTTTATATAAATTCATTGTGATTATGACGAAAAGTTGTACATTTGATTCAAGTTGTTTTACATAAATAAATGATAATATAAATATTTGTGAAATTATATATCCTGTTATGTTAGGAACTTGAATATGAGATAGAGTTACAAATTTGTCAAGAATTAAAGATATATGAAATCTATAATTAATCTGTATATCGCAAAATAGCTGTATTAATAATTATTATTGAGAAAACTGAGTAAATAGTTTTCATTTTCATTATTTTGTAAGATTATTGTATATTAATTGCGTATTCTCAGACTATTGATATATTACTTAACAATTAATCATAATTCAAATAGTTTGTTTTTTTTTTCTTTTTGTTTACATTTGACTTAAAATGTTAATTTTTCCAATGGAAATCAAAGAATAAAATTGATTTGTAAGAATCACGAAGAATAAATATCCTATTATTACCCTCTTATTTATATATGAAAATTGCTTGTTTTTAGCCATTGATCTTATAATTTACCTTTATGTAATGCTATATTTTATGTATGGAACTGTGTATGCAAATTGAAAACTGCAGCACCGATTAATTTTTAATTTCACTTTCAAATCACGATATTATGGTTATAAAACTCTTCTACCAATTGCTTGACCTATGAAATCGACTTTTTTGTAGCCAGTCTCTGTAGACAAATTTAGATAATCTTCTTAGTGCCAATACATTCATCTCCAGTATTCTTTTTCTTTTTCTTTATCTTCTTTTGTTTTTCGAGATTTCAATCAAAGCTTTGCGACTGTATACACGAATGCATACACATGCATGTCGATCCCGTTAGCGGCCTATGCCGGTTGTTGGGAGTGGGTCAGCTGTATGTATCTCCTTTCGATTCCCATAGGACTCTCTCTCTCTCTCTCTCTCTCTCTCTCTATCTCTAGCCTATCATAGATACAGGCACAATCTTATTATATTTAAAAAAAAAAAAAAAAAAAAAAAAATTGTCATAAATATATAAACGCATGTCTTCGTGGTCGGATATTTCAAAGTACAATTTAGTAATGCTCTACTTACTCATTCCTAATATTAAAGTGCAAATAATTTAAAGATCCGAGTGTCATGATCATTCCAATGGAGTAACATTTACATTTGATTATAATGTAACCGCAGACGGTCGACTCGACTGCTGCTTAACGCGAATCGTTACTTTTAAAAGGGCGCTGGACTAATTTCATGAATTGAATGTGTCGTATAAACATGTGCGGTGCGAAATGATGAGGAAGAAGGGGAAAAGGGTTAGAGGACCTCAGGTTGACAAGTTGCGAGAAATCCAATTACCTGCGTCGAGTGTCCAGCATAAGGTGCGCAACTATACCATTACGGCTTTGCAAATATATTTTTTCTCCCATGCTCCTCTTCCATCTCCACCTGTCCCAACCTCCGCTCTCTCCATCTCACTCGCGACCGTACGGGGCCCGTGCAAACACGCCATTGACATCGTGGGTCCCCATGGTGGGGCCTTGCCTCTCTTTCACTCTTTCTCGAAAGCGCGCGCGCATCAGTGCTTGGCCAACTCGTGTGCACACTCCTCGACTCCGATCGCGGATATCCTTCAAACGATCGATAGTTTCTCTATTATCGCTTATCGGACGACAGCCCGCCACCCGCCCTTACCTGGATTCCCGTGAGGAACTCTCAAAATTTCCATTACGATAGCGTACGGGAGGACGGGAATCTGGCCCGTGCACATTGACATTAAACTGGAGCGGCAGACATGAAGATAGCAACGACGCTGTTTCTCTTCGTTGTCGTCGGTACGTAATTGTTTACGGGAGAGTCCTTTGACAGTGGACACGAGTGGGAGATTAAAGCAAACTCGCCAGCACATGACAGTATCGAGTTTTATGGGAGTTCAACCTACTTCGAGCCGCGCGTTATGTCGACATGACAAAAAATTGGCGCGTGCACTCAGACAGCATAGGGTCATTTTCTTTTTTTTTCTCCCCCCCCCCCCCCCCCAACCTAAACGCAGTAATGTTGTTATTTCTTTACTAGGAACGACGTGCAACTGTAAAATTTGCAAATCGTGTATATTTAATTCGTGTGAAACCAAGCGTGCCAATGAATAGTAATTGATCGAGGAAACGAAAAATGAGTTCAAATTTTGTTGTGTGCACACATTTACGTGTTATTACACGTATATAACAATTAAGTCCTGTGATGTTTTTAAATTGACAGCGTTAAATTAATCGATGTGATGTAGAGTGCAATTTTATTCATCTATTTTTTGTACTATTTAATGATACCTAACGATGAAATAATAAAACTAAATAAAATTAATTTTTAATAATTTGAACGGTCTGTATTAACTAATTGCGCTTTTACGTTTAGCTATATAAATTTAATAATAATCATTGTTTTCATAATCGGATATATCTGTTTAATCTTATTTTAGAGTTATTGTGTAACAACAAGTAACTTCATTGGATGGGCTTTCGATACCGTTGCTTTGTAAATGAACTTTCATAAAAACAAAAAACTATTGCTATTAACAGAAACTTGAATTTTCTTTGAACATGTGCTTTACTCTAATTATAATAATTTTTCAAATAAATTCTCCAGTCCTTTATTCATATAATTCAGTAATATTAATAGAAACTGAATTGCATATTCGGATTATTTATTGAATATGAAACCATTGTGTATCATTATAAAGACTATACTTTTGTCACTTTCCAACGAAATTTTTTCTTAGAGTGAGTTTGCTTTATCTCATATGCTAAAGTGTAAACAATAAATAAAATAGTTTCTTGACATTTTAAACTATGTATTAATGAATAACTAAATTAATCGATAGTTTTGTTTCAAAATTATTTTTTACTAAATTCCGATATTTAATAGGATTTAAAGTACGACTACGAATTCGTTGAAAATTAAGGTCCGAAAGATTTTATTAAAACGACTGTGTTGATGTATTTCTGTTTTAATAAATGCGATATATGTAGTATTAAAATTTCAATATAAGATGTAAATACATATCGATAAGATGTGCATTCGTTAATATACATGATGAAATTTATTTATCCAAAAATTAAGAATTCGTACAAATTATTTAAATTCATTATTGAATTATTGTTTACACTATTTAATAAATAACAATGTATTTTTATCACTATTATCATTGGGTTAAAGTTCGCTAAGAAATTATTACTTGGTCTCTTATTGAGCAAATATTTAATTAAAATTTACTTAAAATTCTATCATGCAAAGCATTACTAATTTAAGAAAAAATATATTAAAAAACTGAGTTTACATAAGATAATAATATTTAAGTGATAAAAAAAAAGTTATACACAACATTAGTACATTAAGAAACTTGCGATAATTGGGCTTGTAATTTTCAATAGAAAAACAATTTTTAGCTTCTGTATTTTACAGCGATAAATTTATCAACTCCATTTAGAAAAATAAATAAAACTAATTTATAAATAATTTTTAAAAGAAATGTAATACGTACTCTATACTCTACATCTGAAGATATAATGAATTTAATCTCATACGAATGTATTATAATAAAATTTCTAAAAACTCTTGACAAATTTACTTTTATGTATATATATATATATATATATTCTGTGCTATCAACTTTTTAATTTCTAATTTCTTGACTGACACTAATCTTCTAAAGAATTTCATTAAATAACCAAATATTTAATTTTTCTTACTATAATTAGACTAACTTACTATAATTAGAATCTTAGTAGTTATATTAAACTTTTTTATAAGATGCTGTACATAGTTAAACATAAAATTATGTAAATATTATGGTAATAAAATATATTATTAAGAGATGTGTAAATACAATTCAAAAGAGTATATTATGTAAATCCTCGTTCAACTAATTATAATAAATTAATAATCAATTATTTTAAAACATAGTCTTAGGTGATATCAATACAATATATATCGAAATTGTATTCTATATTTCAAATTGTTGAAAATACATAATATTTCATGCTTAGGATAATGTAATTGACAGACAACAATTTTAACTCCGTTTTCATTCAATTTTTTCCAATTGAATATAATGATTTCTAAATATATATAATCAAATACATTATTATTAAATTTGAAAAGTCAGTGAGACTTTTTAAGACAACGCATTAACGCTGACTTAATTTAATAATAATATATTCAATTAAGTAATTAAATTAAACTCATTTCTCATTGAAACATTGAAATTTGTATATAAGATACAATAAACCGATGACATATTGTATGCATAAGATTGCATTAAAAAAAAATAGTATTTAATAATAATAAAAAATTGGTACTAATTATAATTACGATGATACATATAAGCATATAATAAATATATAATATTAAATTCTAATTGTATAAATATATATCTTCTGTTGATAATAAATGATTAAAATATAGTTCAAGGCGTATAAACATTTCATTCAATGCATTTTAATTGATATTAATGTTAGAGCACTTTTATAAAAAAAAAAATAAATAAAAAAAAACACTTAACGTCAAGAGTGAAGAAGCAATTATTTAAAATATCATTGATAATTGAAAAAAATAGCAATGAATATTATGGTATTAATAAGTTAGGTTGAATTTTTTTCTGTTTGCTAGGACATCCAATACATATACAGTTTATAAAATCAAATATTCAAATAATTTTAAATACAATTCTAAAATAGAATTACGTATTTTATGCTTTAATAAAATTAATATTACATTATCAAATTTTAATATTTATTTACACAATTGTTTATTTTTCATAATATATTGTAAAATATACTAGTTATGAAATATATATTTATATATATATATATATATATTTTTTTTTAATAAAAATGTTTGCATAAGATATGTTGTATAAAAAATAAGGTTTTAGTTAATTGGAATATTAATGATAAATCATCCTGAAAAAAACTTCAATCGAAATAGAATTTTTGCATTGCTTAAATTTATTCTACATAAAATTAATATACAAAATTATGAAGCATTTAATTTCACCATCATAAAAACTTTTTAAATGATTATTTTATTTCGAACTCCATCTTCAATAATACATTATTTATATCTATTTTTATTTAATAACATTCTTCATTTTTAGATTTTATATACATATAAATAATGCAAATGTTATATAAATATATTATATAGGATTATGTACATATAAATTTCGCATCGCATGAATAAATATTTATTACAATACGCTTTAATCGACTAAACTTCAATTACTTTGTTCAATATTTATATCGAGACGTTAATAGAAATATAAGATTATTATTTGATTAATCAAATAAATTAAAAGATCCAAAAGGATATTTCATCAAAGGATACGATATATAATTATCTTTTCCTCTATTTTTGTAATCCATGATATTTACATATGAGGAATTTTACACATTGAATTAGTCAAATCAGATAAATATATCTGATTAAATATATTTAGGTATTTACGCAAGCTTAAACTTTAAATAATGTATATTACGATTTAATATAATTAACGATAATGTCTGCATTTCCATTGAAATATATTTTGAAAATAGCCATTAAATTTTACATTCCACATATTTTATTTAAATAACATGCATTATCATGAAATCGATATTAATTATTTCAGTACAACAAATTTTCTATCACATTCAATTTTTATGAAATGTTGTCCGCTTAATCTTCCAATCATTACAAATTATTAGCTCTTATCGATAAATGTTCTATGTACAAACGAATTACATTAAGTACGAGTGATAATAAATATACGATTATAATCAGATAGAGGCATTGTCGTTTTTATTCACTGATTTCGAAATTAAAATCTAAATTTAATACTTTGATTACTATAATAATAAAGAATAACAAGGATTGGACGATTAAATGTCAAAATAGAACGATATTGAAAGTTAATAAGTGCCACTCTGCGATGAATATCACAGCTCCGGTAATAATGACTCTTCTTATAGAAAACTAAAGAAATCTATAAATGTATCTATAATTACAACAGATACCGACAACTATTTTTTTTTACATAATGCATAAATCACATAGTCCTAAGAGAGAGAGAGAGAGAGAGAGAGAGAGAGAGAGAGAGAAAGAAAAGAAAATATCATACTTCGTTTTAATAATATCTTATAAATATGCGTTTTTATAAAGAAAAGTGAATACACAGTTATGGCATTCGCCTAGTCTGAAAATTAATAGGTACGGATAAACTACGTACATTCAGAGAATCATATATAACAATAATATTCTCGAAAATATTGCTTTCACTTTCCATATGGATTTAATGTATGGATCGATATATTATAACAATTAGGCAAAAATTTAATGATTATTTTATATAAATACCTGAAAGTGAAAAAATAATATTTTTTCGGATATTATTTTGATTCCCTATATTCGGATTAAAAATTCGATACATTTAAATATTTATACGTTGCTGCACTGTTCTTATATTGTATTTTAAACATTACTTAATATAATAAAATTCGTATTTTCATGAAGATTAAAAATAGACAAATTGTTATGAAAGCAGAGGTTTTTTGGGTTTATTCAAATAATTCCAAGAAATTATTGGTCTGCAAAAATATATACATTTATTATTTTGAAACTTATTAATAACAGTCGACTTATTAATGATATTAGGCGATATCACACAATCATTACAAAATTAGTTCTAAAAACGATAGAAATATAATCGAAATAGATATTGAGAATAGAAAAACGTTAATTTCAATAGAAAATTTAATAAAAGAAGTGGTAATTACATAAGTTTTAAAACATTCTTTTGAAA